ACCACCCAGAACAATTTCATGTCATCCACAAATTTAGCCACTTCACTGCTTACTCCCAACTCCAAATCATTAATGAACAAGTTAAAAAGCATTGGACTGAGTAGTGAGCCCTGCGGTACCCCACTGCTTACCACCCTCAACTGTGAAAATTGTCCATTTATACTCGCTCTCTGTTTCCTATTAGACAGTTTTGATTTACAAGAGGACTTGTCCTTTTATCCCATGACTATTGAGCTTACTTAGGAGCCTTTGTTGAGGAACTTTATCAACAGTTTTCTGGAAGTCAAGGTAAACAACATTTGTTGGGTCCCCCTTGTCCACACGTTTGTTCACCCTCTCAAAGAACACTAACAGGTTAGTGAAACAAGATCTTCCCTTAAAGGACCCATGCTGAGGATACCTGGTCACCCTACCAATAACTGACAGGCTGCCAATGGAGTGCATACAGAATGGGAGTAACATGCCGAGCGCCTAATAATAACCTGTTGATCCTTCTCTCCATCTTCCTCCAGTGGGGCCCACAAGAGTCTCTGACGACTGCCATTTTGCCTGACCGCCGCACCATGAACCCTTGCCCGGTGTACGAGAAGAGAAGCGGCAGAGTTTTCCTGTTCTTTATCTGCGTCCAGGGACACGTCACGGAATGGCACCAGCTCAAGTCGGGGAGGAACGCCGCCAGGCTTTCCTACGTCTCCAGCCAAGATGGCGGCCGCCGCTGGAGCCAGTTGACTGATTTGACCCATGAGGTGATCGGAGCTGACTTGAGAAACTGGGCCACTTTTGCTGTCGGGCCTGGCCACGGGTTGCAGATGAGCTCTGGGCGGTTGTTGGTTCCCGCCTATGCCTACTACAGCCACTGGAATTGCTTCACCCACTGCGCTGCTTGCTGCACAAGGCCACATTCGTTTATTTTCTACAGTGACGACCACGGGCAGAACTGGGCACGGGGCCAGCTCCTGAGGAGCTTGCAGACCATAGAATGCCAGGTTGCTGAGGTGACTCGCCAAGACAACGGCTGTGTGTTGTACTGCAATGCCCGCAGTCCAGACAAGTATAGAGTTGAAGCCTTTAGTATGGACTATGGAGGCCATTTTGGGGAATACTTTCTGTGCAAGGACTTGCCGGAGACAGGAAATGGCTGCCAGGGCAGTGTGGTGAGCTTCACCCCTTTGCGGAAGCCCTTGGAGCTAGGCCGAAGAGATAATATTGCTGCATCGGCTCACTTTCTGGGTGGCCATCACTCAAACGCTCTCGAGACCACTAGGTCCTGGATGGTTTTTTCCCACCCCACAAATAGACGCAAGCGAGTCAACCTGGGCATCTACCTCAACACCACTCCGCTGGTGAAGAGCAGCTGGCGGGGCCCCTGGGTGCTGTACGAGGGGCCCTGCGGCTACTCGGACCTGGTGGTGTGCGAGGAGGGCCAGGCACTGCTCTTTGGCTGCTTGTTTGAATGCGGAGCGTCCAGTGAATGTGAGGAGATTGCCTTCCAACTCTTCACCGACGTGGAGCTCCTGAGGAACGTGAGGGAAGGCTGATCTTGAGGCCCTTTTCCCTCAGAGGTGTGAAGCTGCCCTAAACAAGTCTGGGATATTTAGGCCCCTAGAAACCCCCAGAAACCGAAAATGAGATTCTTTTTTGTTTTTCCTGCCAAACTTCGCTCAACCATTGGCTTTGAGGGCTGAGATTAAGTCTTCAAAAAATGGCCACCGCTCAACCGCCAGGCCCTCCTGTACAGAGCACAAGGGAATTGCTTCCTGCCACATCTTTAAGCTGATGATGATAAAGGTGTTTCCTGCGATTCAAGGATCCCGCAACAGACTTGGCCTAAAGCCTGAACTGTGTTTCTGGCACACATTTCATCCTGTGCCACTTTCTTCCTCAGTATTTTCGAGAGTCAGTTTTCTAAATCTGAGGAGGAAAAGCTTGACGTTGACTGAAAAAAGGCCAGGGGATAGGCTTTCTTCAGTCCCTGTTCTGCGGTGTTTTATCTTTCTCCTTGCATCATAACATGTTTCCTACAGTGCTGGTGTTTCGTTGGCTCCTAAATGTTTTAAATCAGTGAAATAAATTCTCATTAGCCACCTTTCTTCTTATGGCGCTTATAACCAATGATCCCTCTAAGCTGAGTTAGTGTGAGCTAGCTCACAGTTTTTTAGCCTCCAGCTCACAGATTTTTGTCTTAGCTCAGGAAGGAGGGCTCCAGAGCAAACTAATTTATGCAGTAGCCAAACTGCTGGCTCACAGACTTTAATGTCAGTAGCTCACAGAGTAGAATTTCTGCTCACAAGACTCCACAGTTCAGAGCATTGCTTATAACATTAAAATGTTATTAAAATTAAATTGTTATTAAAATACATTAAAATACCTGTTTCGGGGTCTCTTATATTGGACAGAGTTTATTAAAACTTAAACTAAATTGCTCACCATTCCTCGATCGTATACTGGGCATTTAAACTTTACTTCTTTCACAGTTACATGTTCAAATTGCTGCACTGTCGATTTTATATATTATTGTGTGCTAACGCATACTTTGTTCACCGTTATCTTCTTTTACATCTGTGCGAAATGTATTCCCAGTGTTTATTGCTACTCGCTGTTAACTTTTAAAGTTTCTTAATAAAAAGATTTTAAAAAACAAAACATCAACCCCCCAAATTTGAAATCGCAGTTCAGGACTGCTGAACTTAACCAAATGGAGTCCTAAATAAAATTGCCTTCAACTGCCTCATAAACATCGAAAGTGAGAGGGCCAGGCGGCTTCCCTGGACAGGTTGTTCCGTAATCGTGGGGCTGTCACCAAAAATGCCTTCTCTTGTGAGCCTCTTTGGTTGATCGGACAGTAAGGAGCATCTCTCCCTGTGATCTTAATTCCAGGGCTGCTGGGAGCAGGGGGTGGGGCTTTTTGCATGTGCCCGCCCCCTGTGCTCTTTACTGCCGGAGCTCCGCTCTGCAGGAAACGACCCCTTAGGGTAATAGGGCCCTACCAGGGGTCCCCAACCTTTTTGAGTCTGGGCACCTTTGGAATTCTAACATAGTGGCTGCCACAAAATGTCAGGAGTTGGGAGCCAGCCACAAAATGGCTGGTGAGGGTTGCCATCAGTCACACCGTAAAAATCCTTGTACTGTGGCAGCAGCTGCTCCCAAAGCAACATTTTTAAAAAATCTGCACAACCAATCAAATCTCCACTGGCCAAGAGCCCCACCTGGGCCCCCGCCAGCTTTGTAAAACCACTTGACAGACACTAGGAGAGAAGACAAGAAGAGACTGGATTTATACCCCGCATTTCACTCGGAGTCTCAGAGCAGCTTACCATCTCCTTCCCCTTCCTCTCCCCACAACAGATGCCCTGTGAGGTAGGTGGGGCTCAGAGAGCGCGGAGGGAGCTGCTCTTGAGGGATCAGCTCTGAGAGAACTTGCAGCACATTGCAGTAGTCCAGACTCGATGTAACTAAGGCATGGATCACTCTGGCTAGACGTGACTGAACCAGGAATGGACACAGCTGATGCACCTACCTTGTGCACCATGTTGGGGACCACCCAGGGCAACACTACTGCAGAATATTTCAGGAAGGTGCTTTAGAGAGCATGAAGCAATCACGGTGGGGTTGTCTTTCCTCAGCTGCCGTTACTATTTCCGCTCTGTGCTTTGAAGGGTGGGGAACAGGCAAGATCAAAAACCACCCGTTCACAGGCTTTCTCTGTTGTGGACTCACCTTGTGGAATGGCCTACCTGAGCAGGTCAGGAAGAAGAAGAGAAGAGATTGTGGCTGACCCAAGGTCACATCAGCAGGTGCAAGTGGAGGAGTGGGGAATCAAACCCGGTTCTCCCAGATTAGAGTCCGCACACTTAACCACTACACCAAACTGGCTCTACACCAAAAGCTTGAAAGGTGCTTGGATTATTTTGAGTGTTATTCTCTGTGGAGTGACTCATAATTTTATTTAAAATAAGATGCTCCCAAAGCTTGTTCTGCCACATTCAAAGGGCTGGGCCTGAAGCGTCTCTCCATTTCTTTCCAATTACTATTCTTGTCGTTGTTAAAAGAGAAGAAACTCATTTTGCTTTATATACATTTCCCATTGAATTTAAACCATGGGAACGAAGTGCAGTTTCAGGCAACTCAGGTGATCTAATTCCAGTAATTATACCTATTTGTTGTAAAATCTGACAAGGCTGTAAGTCTTGAAGGCGCTCCTGGGCCCTTGCTCAGATAGACCAGCATGGCGGCCCATCTTGCTCACAAGAAATTTTCAATAAAGGTAATCCGGGGTCATTTCGTAGAAAAAGAGGTGCAGGAGCTCATTAGCATAACTCATTAGCATAACGTATTTGCATACGCCACACCCCCTGACATCACCAGAAGTGTGTCAGAAGGCAACACCCACCGGCTCAGGCTCCACTGGACTGTTTTGGATTGCTAGCTATTGGGGGGGGGGGGACATGCAGATCTGTCCTCGTAGAGGAGGGAGAGCTTGTACCTGAATAAAATTTAGTCTTAAAGGTGCCACTGG